GGCGGGGCGCAGCGGCCCGAGGCGCATTTCTTATATTCGTACCTGTTGAATGATGTACCACAGCGCCCGCCCGCCCTCACGGCCGTCTCCCCCGAGACCGATGCGGCGCAGCGGTGCACGGCTATAGTAGGGGGACCGACGGCCATGCGAGACCATGGCGAGCATGCACGGCTGCCCCCCGCCCGCAGCCCCAGGGCCTGCCTACTGCCGTGGTGCCCACGCCGAGCAAGCGGGGCACTTTAATCACGGGCGTCAGCGGCAGCAGCAGCAGCGCTTGCGCTCCCGCTTGCTGCAGGGCCGGTGGTGGTGGGCCGGTGGGCCGGTGGGGCGTGGACACCGCCGGGCGCGCCCTTACTCCCCTTGACCCTGCATCCTCCTCATCCTGTCACACGGCCTAATGGCTCCCCGGTGCTTGCTCACCTTGGCCCCTCGGGCTCCGCCCTGCCCCGCAACGCCCCGCCACGCCCCGCCTGGGCAGCCCATGCCCATACCCAGGACCCCCAGCAGGGGCACTTATTGGCAAGCAGGCAAGACCCTGACCGCCCACCGGCCCACCAGCCCTCCCCCTCCAGTCCTACGAGCCACCCCGGGCACTACAAACTAATGCATGTCGCGTGTATGGCAGGGGCAGGTAACCACAAAAATGCCTGGGCCTTCACTTGGCCGAGAATTGTCCGTTTTGTAGTCAACCTCGTCTAACAATAATGACGAAACGGTAAAAACAATGTCTATTTTTTTGTTTTGAAGAAAACGGAGAACTTTTTGCAGAACGCTTTTTGTTTGAGGAAAACTCTCCCAAGGAGATGAGGAACGAGGGGGCAATGACTTCTAGTATTCACGGTTGCACGAGGGAATTAATACCTTCAATATTCAGGCGATATTCAGTGATTATTCAGTGATATTCACTATTAGTGTATTCACAGTGCACGAAATTTCGGAGTTGGTGCCCCCTTGATGAGGAAGTCTCCCCCCCCTCCTCAATTGTGGTAAATTTTTTTCATTCTTTGCGTAGACTTCCTCATATCCGAGCAGTTCTCCTTACATGGGAGTTCGCCAAAGTTCCCCCCTTTAACTCAAATAAATCAAACCTTTTCTTTTTTTTTCTCGTCGGTTGCGATTACTGTCCTAATTGTCCTCTGTGGCATTATTGAGCCTCCGCCCGCAAGAGAGAATAAAGTGTGTCTGGCAAAGGTACCACAGCGGCTCTTTCCACGCCAAGAAAAGCATTGGAGGTCTCGGGAGGAGGAGGGTTGATTTCGTGATGGAGCTGCTCGGTGGTATGAAAAAATATATCAGTGGGTAAAAGGAGGAGGGGGAAAAGGAAAAAATAAGGCGGAAAAAGTGCGAGAGCGCCGCGGAACGAGGGAGGCAAAGGCCACGACCACGCGCGGTGTGGCAAATTACCCCACATCAGTCTCGGGCGGCAGGTTGGTTGGGGACCACATCATTTAGTACGACGTCGTCGACGGCGCGGGAAAATTTGACGCTCAATGAAAGAAGCGTGGAGGG